AGAAGAAGAAGCTTAAATTACCATTAGAGCATACTGCACACCACAAAGGTTACGATCGTGAAGAATTCTCGGGCTGAGTACTGAGTAATACCAGCTGTAATTTTTATGCCAGCTTTTAATTTACCGCGCTCGATGGTTCCTCCCGGGACGCCATCCGCGCCTCCTCTCGAACAAGAAAAGGGCGTCACGCGTACCCTCATACTCCCGTCATAGCCGAGAGAGCAGTAAGTGGAATTCTGGATGAGCCACGATTAGCACATGTCTTTATGCGTCTGGAGGTTCATCCCAGCATGCACTCACTGCTTTCTTCGCTATCACGGCAAGATAGCTCCTTAATCGCTCGTTTTATCCGAGCTTCGAGTATTGAATCGTCACTGTGAGCTTAGCAACTCCCAAGTTGTCGTTATAACGATTTTCTTCTCTAATTACACATTGTTAAACTGACGGACATGCATGGGCGTAGCTGGACAAATTCTTGGGTAGACCAATCGAGGTGCCCGAGGTGTGCGATCGTGGGTGGACGAGACTCAGAAAATGTTGAAAAAGTAACTTTCGCTATCAATCATTTTTACGAAACGGATTAGGAGAGAATCAAGTCATTTTTTCACAAAAAACGGGTTGAAGGGTTCCCAGGGGTCCATAGGTGGATCCAGACACTTCGAACGCGGAGGGGGGGGCGTAAGGGAGGTCGGGAGGGCTTTTGCCGGAAAAATTTCGAAAGTTTAAAGCATATAATAAGCATTTTGAGTCGATTTTGTCATAAATAATCATACCAAATAATATAAGCGTCATTTCCTCTTCTTTTCTCCGTTCTCTCCTCCCTTCATTCTTCCCCTTTTCTTCCTTTTTTTTGAGCGAACAGGGGGGGGAGGAGGGTAGGCGTAAGCCCCTCCCGCTCCCCCCGGATCCGCCTATGCAGGCGTCTGAAAATTTGCAGTGGTTCTAAGCGAGCAGAATCGGGCTTAGATGATTTCAGATCGTAGATCGGCTAAAAATAACAATATTTTTCTAAACACCAAGTTTTTACGTCCATTATGAATGGGGCTTTCGCTTTTCGATAAACACGGTTTTTGACGTCATCCTCCGTGGGGTAGCTTATACCATGCGCCCTTCAGAGGCGGATCCAGCAATTTGGCAACGCCGGATTCCCTTCATTTAAACCCATCTTAAATAGTCGATTCTTGTTGGAGCACCTGGCCCCTCCAAGAATCGATACATTTCCATAGGTTTAAATGGAGAAAAACAATGTTGCCAATTTGCTGGATCCGCCAATGGCGCCCTTTCACCTTGTATTCGTCAGTTAATAATGCGCACGAATTTGCACTTGCTGTTCGACCTGAAACACGGATGAAACTACGGTGAAAGAAACCATTGTATGCATACACCACCGCGTCCACCGTGACGTCACAGGATGTGTTCTTTGAAGGGTGATGTCTCCGTTGATATTGGACATAGAAGTTTCGTGGTAAGACAAAATTAGTTGTATTTATTTATAGATGAAAAAGTGAACAATAGGGACTCAAGATACTAGAGCAAAATTAATAACCTCTAAAAAATATCTCTCTCCTCGTATAATTTTCTCGTCAGCTGACGGTACTGATCGATACTCAAAAATCATCAAAAATCGAACTGATGCCATCTTGTCGTTACTGATCGAAAAGCTCTCATGCTGAGAAGCGCGTGAGTTCTTAGTTTATGTTACAAGGCCCTCTAAACTCTCCACAACGATTTCAGTTAGTCAAGCAAACGAACGGCAAAGTTTCAGTGCTCAGGGAAACACCATTAGCCAAGTCGGGTACTCGCTCGAAAAAGCATTCCACTCATCGACGAAGAGGATTGTTGAGTGTTGGTTGCGTTGACACAAATATTGACGGACAAAACGCGAAGCGGTGTCTCCTGGTCCTCGAGTGGGTTTCGATTTGATGTTGTTTAATATTTGGGACACGCTCATTCTTACGAATATTCAAAAACAAAAGGCAGGTATCATGTATCTACGAAGGGCTTAAACCTCAGTCCACTCGCCACGATAACTCAAAATTTTGTCACGGAGTACAGATGAGTGTTCTTCGAACGTTTTTGAAAGATAACGGCCAACAGTTACACTTCCGGCCAAATTATCACAAGCGCCATGGGACGTTTAAGAATATTCGTCGCCATGTATTTTTTCAGGGAAATTGTTGGTGGAATCTGCTTGAAAATGTCACTAAATTTTCTTAGTGCTGCCGATAAAATTCAGTGAAATTTTCTAATCATTAAACGAATCATTGAAACGAATTGTAAATAAGTAAAATTTTTAAAATTTAAAAGATCTTATCAATAAAAATTTAAATTTCTGTTAAAAACTACAGGCTTAGCCCTATTATTAGAATAATTATAATTAAAGTAGTAAAAGAGAATCTTCAAACTTAAAAAAATTTGGCGGTAGTTTAATCTAACTAGAGGAATTTGCTCTGTTTTTTAGTGTTGCCGATAAAATTCAGTGAAATTTTCAAATAGATTCAACCAACAATATATCTGTAAAACAGTAAATGGTGGCGGAAATTTTGAAATGTCGCATGGCGCTTGTGACATTTTGGCCGGAAGGTGACAATTTAAGTACGGGGAAAGGACCGACTTTCGGCCCCTGTGCTTTGAACTGGGGACAAATCCCATGAAACGTCCCGTGGAGACAAGGCCTAACTGAGACTCGATCGCCGCGAAGAAACGCCTATTCCTTTTGAGCCGCAGCAAAATCCCGGAGGAGCTTGGTTCGGTTAGGGCGTTTTTTTCGCCGCTCAACAGCTGTAACCGCCGACCACGTGGTTGGCAGCGACCGAAAACAAAGGGTTTCGGCCCGGCCCGGCGTCGCGACGCTGCCCGGCCCCGGCCGCAAGAGCGAGTGAAAGTGCGCATTAAAACCCAGCCCCCTCCCCCTCCCCTCCACTGTTGCCACAAGCTCTGAAAGATTCCAAAAATTCCGCTCGTCGTCTTTTCAGCTGTGTTTAGTTAGTGTACCCTCTCATCTTCGACGGAGAAAGTCCGAAAACCCGCATTTCGATCACTGTGTTTCCAGGTCCCTATTCACACCGTATGGACGTATTTCTGTCAAACGGAACTAAGCGCCAAATTGAGTTCCTTTTGAGGATTTTAGAATCCCGGATAGCGCGTTCTGTCAAACGGAACTAAGCGCCTTGGAAAAGCATTGCGAGTATACGACGGAACGAGCATCTCGCTACGCAACACCCGCCAATCCAAGCCCCCCTCTCCCTTCCTCCCCCTATGGCGCTTAGTTCCGTTTGATAGAAATATACGTCCATATAAGCACTCTGATTTCCCATTTTTTAATGTTTTTTTTTCATTAAGTATGTTTTAGAAACCCTCTTGGTTGATCTCATGACTTTTGAGGTCATTGCAGGGTGTCAACTCTGCCGTGGCAAGGGAGAAGGCCGTATGAACCCAAGTTTCCGTCGATAAAAACCGAATTTATTGGGAAAATTGTAATTATTTTTTCTCAACATTTTCAGACAATTTTGCAAGCAATTCAATCTAAAATATCTGAAAATTTCAAGGAAAAATATGCACGAATGTCGTTAAAAATACATGTTTTATCAAGGGAAATTTGGCAACGTGTGTTCATACGGCGTTCTACCTTACAACAACAGCACTGGCCCGTAAAGTTCGTAAAAAACTACAGTGCTAACTTTTTAGCGGCGGTCCGGAAGTACTGAAGAAGCACGGAAATTCCGCTAGAAGGTCCGGAATTTTTCGCCACATACTATGCGTATTATGTCTTAAGACAGCCTGGAAAGCCCGAAATCTTTTTTTTCTTTCTTCTCGCGATTTTATCGCCAAAATTTTAAATGGAAGTTTTCGTCTGTTGCAGGTCATACGCGGAGTGCATTTGGAGCCGCCTCACATCATGAAAAAGCGGAGCGTAGACCAACCTTTGAGGATACTCTTGTACTACGATGAAAGCGTTTATAGGTAAGGATCCGTCAAATTTTGCCATTGGCTTTTACCAGAGTGTCCACTCGTCCAGTTCACGGCCCCGTGGGAAATCGGGGAAAAGCTATCTTCACACAATCAGAATGAGAGCTTTGAAATTGGCAATCGATGAAACGCTGAGAAATGAGGGATGAGAATAACTCCGGCCAGCGGTAGGACCGGGAAATACTTGGGGGTACGTTTAAAATAAATAAATAAACAAGTTTGGGAAGTTGAATTGAGAGGCAATATTCATTCGGAAAGTAGTGAACATTACCACTTATTCTTATGAAGACACTGGTCAAGTGGTCAGTTGCGCTGGTCACTGCATCGTGTTTTGGTGCTTGATTTTTGTGGATTAGCTAAAAATAGTAGGATCTGTCTAAACAGCAACTTCCCACGTTCCATAACCGAGATATTGTCCTTTGAAAAATCGGGTTTTTGACGTCATCCACCGCGGTATGACACCCTTTATTCCTTCCACCTTGCTTTCATCTGAGTTACACTTTGAGTAACCAGTGCAAATGTGTGTTTCCTTGACTGATGAAAGCAAGGTGGAAGAAACCAAGGGTGTCACTACCGCGGTGGATGACGTCAAAAACTTGACTTTTGAAAGGGCGATATCTCGGCAATATTGAACGTAGAGAGTTGCTGTGTGGCAGATCTTGTTATTTTTAGCTGATTTACAAGAACCAAGGATTCGATAATCGCAGTGCAACGGATCCATTCTTTTGGGCCCTCTCCAGTTTTTCCGTTTGCGCACAGGACTGAATTCGGCAGAGCAATCACTATACATCAATGAAATAACTCTGAGTTTAATTCGAAAATAATGTTAAACTAAAGCTGGAAAAACTGACAATGAGTGGCAACTGGCCCCGTTCCTCAGATTTCTGAAGAATGAAACTCAATTTGTACAGGAAAGAGGAAGAGTGGCTTTTCATTCATACCGATTCTTACGGGGAATTCTTCCATCCACTTAATAATTAAACTCCTCATTTTTGGTAAAAAAAAAAAAAAAAAAAACCACGCGGCTTTGTTTTTCTAAAAGGAAAAGATAATAGAAAAGCAATGTTTTATAAATGGATTGCATTTTGCAAAAAGGAACCAGAAGCATTGCAATGGTGCTAAGATTGTGAAACTTCAGCCTTGGCAATAAAATTACTGAAACCATGAAAAAATATAAAATTTACATGATAATTTTTGTCTTAAAATTACAGTTTTTAGGGAGTGAAAAAGAAACTGTTAATAGATAATCAGGTTTTTCCTCCAAGACAAACTAAGATGCACAATTTTAGCAACATTGCAATGCTCCTGGTTCCTTTTTGCAAAATGGAATCCAAATTATGTATGTACTGTACTTCATCTATTCTGCTAAATTTAGTCCAAACGTACGTATGTGTGAACGCAGGCTTGATTAGTCAGCTACCTGCACCAAGGTGAACAATTCATTAAAGCCTCAAAGTATTGTATTGATTCGGAAACCAGCGGGGAAATGGAGTAATTAAATATCGCCGCAATCCTCTAATTATAGAATGCATGCGGTATTGCTATTGCGGCGAGCATCGAATACAACTGCATCGCTTGTAATTTCATCCGAAACCCGAACGGCATAATAATGCGCCTTCTTCGCTCAACAAGTTTCGAGTTAAATGCGTGAAACCATCACTGGCTCTTGTTATTATGACTTGCGCGCCATTGCTAGGAGTGGACTACCGGACAGCGTCAGAAATCAAGTGTTGAAATTAACGTTTTCTCATCGCAATACTTGTTCGACACGGTGAACAAATTGAAAAGTTCCGGTTACAACTTATGCGTGAGGGATTAGAACTTTTCGTTTATTTGATCCAAGCTTCCCATTTGCCGAGGAAACCATGCTCACTGTAATCAAATTGAACACACACTCGTTTCAGTAAGTTTTTGAACTTTTCTTCCAGACGGGGAACAAACTAAGGATTAGAAATTTTAGTAAAAACTCCATAATAACCGATCACTTATGCCGCAATCACATGCTGAGTGTGAGAGCTGAATGTGGCTTGAATGTAGAAGTCATCGGGCCGATGCCTGAATTTTGCGCGTGTCACGCAAGATTCAGCAACGATTCTCAGCGACCATCGGATAATGTCGGATTTGTCTGCTATTCGAATAGATTTGATACACATCTGGATGAAAGTAACTCGAGTCTGCGAAATTTTAGCTGTTGAGCGATGACTGTTGACTCCCATATTCAGCTGCCAAATTCAGCGTGTGATTGCGGCATTAGTTTCGCCCGAACTATTCGGTTTGCCAACCTGATTTTTCGGTTCATCATTGCGAAGACCTTAACTGTTGGTTCCCTAACTGACGCCTCGGCCAGTATGAAATGTAACTTTCGAAAATTGAAACAATTGACAAAAGACTAGGTTCGGTTACACGAGCTGAATGTTCGGTTAAGTGATGTTCGCGTAAATCAGAAGTCCGGTTGTGTTTTGTGGACCGCAAGCTCGGTTAAGCGAACCGAAAGTTCTATTCGACAAACCGAAAGAACACAGCTTGTCGAGCTTATGCGACCGAATCTAGAACTCTAAAAACTCCACTCGTTGTTTCCTACGTTGTCGTTGAAATGACGTAACTTGATCTCAAACTTGAAGAATTATACTTCATACCGTATTTTTTTTTCACACGTAAATGACCGCGCAATTTCTGACCAAAATTTTTCTGAATTATCCGGATAATCTGTAGAATCAGTGAAATTTTCATTAAAAAATCCCATCTAACTTTCCGAGTGAAATAAAACAAATTGCAAGTGTGAGTTTTGCACAATTAAAATGGGGTTACGTTCTTTCGTCTGGGGAACGGTGAACCTTTGAATAGAAAAATGTCTACTTAAATTTACCATATATTTGTGCCATCATGCACATTTATGTTCTATTTTTTTTTCTTTACCTTATGTTACTTCTTTCTTTTCTTATTTGATTACAGGCTGGACGAGGGAAAATTTCAACTCATTAACGTAAGTTGCTCCTCTCAATGAAGTTTCTAGTTTGTCTTATTTATTACCTATCAAATTCAAAAGAAATAATCGATTGTAATTGAAAAAACCTACTTCGATCACTTTGGCCGTCCACTCGGAAACGTTAGGGAGAGCCCTAACCTTAGTCGTACTAACATTAACCCTATTACTCCTTAACGCTTATGAATGAGCATGGTATTTCCATTTAAGACTCTACTATATGAGAGATAATGATTTTCGACAAAGGTTTTTTCCCACCATCCAGAATTTCTGGGGGAGAGGGGTGATACTATTTTCAATTCGATAGGAGGCCAGCCCCCCTTTTGTACGCCCGTGAGACGAGTGTTTTCATGAAATAGCCAGAAACAGTCATTTCTTATTGAAAGATGTATTGCAGTAGTTCAAACGAAACTGAAACGAAAGGAAATTCGCGAGCCGGACCCCCGCTCGCTCGAGACGAAATCATCCAAGCTCGAATTACGAGCCCACCGCACAGCCGAGCGTTTTTCCAGGCGCGCTCGCAATCAGATGTATGATTTTTCTCGTAGATGTTCTTCTTTCCTTCATCCTCGGTGAATTTTTTCCTTTTTTTTCCTATGCCCGAGTTTTTCTTCGGCGGCGTGACCGTCGTGATCACGAAAGTGGAAAATGGTAGCGTAGAAAATCATCGACTCGCAGATCTCGCTCCACCAGGGGAGAGGCTTGTTCCTGGGCGCACCTCTAATCATAATTTTTCCCCCCTTCCCACCCCCCAAGCGGACAAGTTTCTCCTTTAAGTACCGTTCATCGAATTATGCCGTTGAAGTTTTTCAGGAGAGGGAGTTTTTGCAGAACTGGTCTAATTAACTCCGCATTTTCAGCTTGCATTCAGAATTTCAAATTTCTTGCCCCGAAACTATTTGAAGAAAAAAAATCCTAGCCGCGACAATTGAAGCACTTGGTGTAGATACTCTTCCTGGTTGCGATGTCTCGGTATATCCGCTAACTTTTCATCCATCGTGATCAAAATAGATTATCTACTTTGTTGAAATTTTTACCGAATATTATGATTTTATAATGCTTGGAACGAAAAATGTCAGAGAAGTCACGCAAAATATTCTCTTCTATATTATAAATTGTTAGAGAAGATAATGAAACATCGTAACCGAGAAATGTCTTTTCTGAGAGATTTTTTTCTCAGTCTCCTGCAACTTTGATAAATTTATTTATTTCTTCCTTGAAAAGGTAGGATAAGCTGATCACATTTTCTTGTCAATTTTTTAATTTTTTTCTTTTATGACGAAGACAAATTTTCACATTAATTCACCGCTTTAGCTTACCTTTCAATAATTTCTGTTAATCTAACTTTTTTGAGGCCATTAGATTCTGGTAATGTCGCTATCATTGAGTCAATCCCAAAAAAGTTATCGTGCTTTTATTGTGCGATAGGAAATCGCCTGTCCTCAGTTTAGTATTGGAAGGAAAGTCAGTATCTAAAATGGCGGTTCCTCCATCGCAGTCTAAAAACGTAAACTTATCTGGTGTGAGCTCCAGCAGTTTGCTCATCCAAATATTTCTGATGCTCATTAGAATGTTTCTGTTTTTTTTTCCAGAATTCAGTTTTACCCGAAGCAGTCCACTATTGGGAGCAAGCTCTTATGGTCAGAAAAACACACAATGTCATCAGGCTAAATAGGTCAGTAGACTTCAATAACTTTGAAAATATCTGATTAATATTAAAATGAGTTGTTCATTTCTGTAACCTAATTTGCGTCAAGGTTTGTTACTACCACCGGGGAGGGGGAGGAGAGCGTAGAGTATCGCGTCACAATGAAGGCGCTCGCGACCGAAACTTCGCCTATCTGAGGATTCCTTAGAATTTGGTATTGAAGGAGAGGGATTTCATTTTGAACTCCCTTAGAAAAATATTTCGTCTTGATGGACACTCTTCTTTTTCCGTATAGTTAGCGTTTGCCTGTAACCAACTTGTTTTGCATATTGAATGTCAAAATGGACGTATTTCTGCCAAACTGAACTATGTGCATTATGACGTGAGCGGTGATCCCGGTTATGCATATACTCTTATGGATCTCAGAGCTCATGTCTTAATTGACATAGTTCCGTTTGGCAGAGATACGTCCAAATAAGCAACTGATTTCAGGCAAGGATATGACTATGGATTCAGCCGTATTACAATATAATTATGTTGCCTAATTCTCTCTCACATGTCATTTTTTCTCAAGAAAATACTATTCCTACTATTTATAAAATTTCAAGGCAGAATGTAGTTCAGTTTCCAAGTGAAGGACGACAATCAGGCACATAGAATGGTAAGAAAATACACTAAAACTTGATAAAGGAAAGTAGGAATGAGATAGAAGTCGAATTTACGAGTAAATTCCAATCACTTTTTTAAGATTCCGCGTGCTACCGCAATACATTTTCAACCTTTCCTATTTTTCCGGTAGCTTAGGAACGTATTTATGTGCAACCCAAAAGAAAAGCGCATAGCATAATTATTATTCCTAGTCGAGAAAGAAATTGGAGGAACTTGATCTTTTTAACCATTTTGAAAGGCGTGGTAGAATAAAGACATTCTCGTAGAATTTTAACCCAAAGGTAAGAGAGCCTGAAAAGTTCCGAAAGGATTTAAAGTAAGAGCGACATAATTATTTAAGACGAAGAAGAAATCCATCCAAAAGGTTAAAAAACACTGGGGTTTGCTTTAGAGAATAACCGTACATCGTCTCTGACGAGCGTCTTGTTTCATTTACTTAGGGAGAGCTTTATAGGTGGAGTGATGTCGGATAGGCTTAGAAACGCGGAAAATCTCTTCAGAAATTCATAATAACTTGTAAATGTAACTTTTTACTCAAGCCCTTGTTTCTTGCGCTTATTTTTTACGGTGCAATTCTCCACTTGACCGTACAGGTGACTGTACTGTCATAGGTTTAGCAATCCTGCGGACCCCAGCTGCGAGCTGATTATTGAAATTGATAGACAAAGCCATAGAAATAGATGAGAAAAGCGATATGGAATGAACCTATTGGTGGAAGCTGGTAGTTGCAATGGACAAAGGCAGTAGGTAATAGACTATAACTAACGGCAACCCACGAGAAACCCGACAGATAGTCCATCATTTTCTCCCTTAAGAACCACACATTTCAACCAATAGGATCGCTCCACACCCCCTATGTCTTCTTTGTCTATAGCTTTGTCTATCAATTTCAATAATCAGCCCGCTGGCAACCCCTATCTCCTGAAGGGGTTTGGAGATGATCACCGGCTTTTTCTTTAGGACCATGGATAAATTCAGCGTTAAAAATTATATTATCTTCTGCAGTATGTAATCTTTAATGAATTTCGGCTCATAATCGTCAATAAAATTCAGAAAAAAATATAATTTTTCCACTTTTAATGGTAGGGGAAGGGGCCACAGCTCCAATGGCGGGGATGCACTTGAGGGAAAATATGTTATGGATGGAAAAAGCCTTTTTTTGAGCCGTCGAGCACACTTCCGCGGTACGGCCGTTCAATAATGGGGCACTCTGTATGACATTGATGGCCAGTAGAGTCACTCTGACGTCAGGAAGTAAACGCTAGCTTTCTGCAGTTTCAAATAAGCTTCGAATTCATGCTTTATCAGGCTTTATGATCGTCGCTCGTTATGATGATTGCTCGTGGCGCGGTGCGCGCGGCGCACAGTGAATCGAATCAATTTGAGAGATTGGACCCGGAATTTTTTACTACACACGGAAAAAACGAGCTTAGGGTTGGGACCTACATGTTAGTGCTGGGCACTAACGAGGGTTAGATCAAATGGAGCCAGCAAGTCAGAGGAGTGCTGGGCACTAAACAGCTCGAGGCTGGGTCACTAAGGAAGAAGTAGTGTCAAGCCCTAAAGTGACTTTGGAGCGAGCGTAAATATGAAACGCCTCTGCCTGGGAACGAACTCGGATTGCGCCGGTGGAAGATCAGCGCGTTACCACCAGGCTATGGTGACTCCGACGTACTCTGGGTGAATTTACACCTGTTAAGCGCAACTACGTCTCGCGGCATCTGATTAGCACTACTCATGTTCAGTGCCTACCTGTACTGCCTTCCGGTGTTGAGCTGTACAGCGCTTAGACGCCAGCCCTCAACTACTCCCCACTAAACGGCCAGTAGTGCTCAACACTAGTCTTGTTTTTTCCGTGTAAAACTGCAAATTTTTATATTTATTTCGTCATATTTTCAACTACAAGGGGTGATTTTAGACGAAAATTTCACAAAGAAACCAATGGAACTACTTTTAGAACCTTGAAGTTTTGTATAAACGGAGTTATAAGCGTTTAAAGTTTCCAAATTTTGTCCGACCTCTCCTATTGACTTGATCCAATGTGCGGCGAGCGCAGCAGTGTGCCCAGAAATCAGATACTGGAAAAATGCCTAGTCACGGTCCTTAGTTATCGGACCGTGTCAGGGACGTAAATTGCAGGGGGTCATTTTGTACTCAATCCGGGGCTAAACGCAATGAAAAAATTTCGCAAAATTTGAATTTTCAACGGAGCATGCACTACAATATTCCAAAGAATAATGAATTATGAAGAAAGATTAGAAAATAATTTGGGATGGTAGTAACCCCATTTTCAAGTGCCGGATGGAATAGAAAATGAATTTTCAGTATTAGCATACAAAATTTAAAATTGAAAAAAAAATTAAGAAAGGAACAAAAGGGATATCCTAAATTTTATCTCTTGCTCCTTCTTTAAATTCTAGTGTTTTATTTTGTTCAGTTGAAAGGGGGGTTGTTTTAAAACTCCAAAACGTCCCGGCCCATTAAAAATCTGCATTTTTTAGCTTTGTCACACTTTTTTAGTGTGTTTTTTATCTCTGTCCTATTGCATCGTTTTCATTGTTCCATATTTCAAAAAATTGTCACGCTTCTTTTAGCATTACCATGTAATGCGTTGGGGGCGGAGGGGGGTGTTCAGTTTTTAAGTATTTGGTTTGAATTATTAGACATTTTTGGAACGAAAAATTTCAACCTCTTTGAAAATCCGGCGCGAGTTGCGAGGGTCAAACCTGGATCGCATTGATGATAATTAATTGTTTTAACCTCTCCCAAGTCGTAACCTCTGAGTGATATCGAGAGAAACGATCGATTTTTAGTTGAGCAGGACACAATAACATCAAAGAAGTTGATCCGACCGAAAAGTAACTCAAAGTAACCTGAAGTAAACGTAAACACGGTAATCTTTTACCGTGCGGAGAGTTTTCCGTGAAAATTCAAAACCCCCAAAGTCAATCCATCCCCACAGAAATCGCTCCCCTGAAAACTCCACTGTGCATCATGGTCCGCTTCCCCGTGAACGGTCCCAGAAGAGGTTAAATTTTGAAATCGAGGTACGGTAATGAGAGTTATTGAACTTCTACCTTCCGTTCTCTCTCCCCTGGCTTTTGTGGTTCAGCGTTCGCATCGATTCGCGTGCAATTTCGGGGAAAAATCAGGAACAAATGCTCGTAAGTAATCCTCTTATTTTTGTTTCGCCTCCGATTCTTGGAGTTCGAGGGCTTACGCGGTCAACGTTCAGAGGAAGGCGTGTCTGCCCCAGAAACAACGTACTTCAGAAACCCCGCGCATTGCTATTTTCTCTTGTAAAAGTTAATTTCGGCAGACAACTCTCGGATTCGCGCAATGCTGACTGGTGACCGAAAACCTAAGCAATTGCATCTAATAGATCTTAGATTGAATTTGATGCTAAAATCTCCCAGCAAAGTATTTATTCTGACATTCATCAATCATTATGAGGTGAACTACATTTCTACCCTGATAGCGAAGAGAGCAGTAAGTGCAAAAATGAAGTTTTGAAAAAACGGGCTCAGAAGCTTCCGACCGGAAAATTTTATTGAAAGAAGCCTCCGTTCTTCGTCAAATTGCCACTACTTGTCCGAAGGACTCCTAGAAATCGTTTGGATGATTGAGAATCGAACGATTTTATTTCTATTGCATAAACAGGGTGTATTTTATTTTCATGCTGAGTAGATGTAATTTAAGGCGGAGACCCCATGAGGCTCAGACCTGAAAAATGTCATGAGGATTAGACCTGGTGAAATTTTGAAAAAACATTTTCATGCTAAGTAGATATAATTTAAGGCACAGACCCCATGAGGCTTCGACCTGAAAAATGTTATGAGGATTAGACCTGGTGAAATTTTGAAAAAAAATTTTCATGCTAAATAGATATAATTTAAGGCACAGACCCCATGAGGCTTAGACCTGAAAAATGTTATGAGGATTAGACCTTGTAAAATTTTGAAAAAAAAATTGACTTTTCTTGTTTCATGAATCAAGTATTTTAATGTGAAGGTTGTCACGATGTTGTCTCAACGGTTATTCATTTTGCTTGCAAGTTTGTCAGTATAGTTTTGGTGTGTGTTCGAGTAACACAGGTGAGTAAAAATTTTACCAGGTCTAATCCTCACAACATTTTTCAGGTCTAAGCCTCATGGGGTCTGCGCCTTAAATTATATCTACTATGCTAGGCCAGTGTTAGGCAAGACAGCCGTAAGTGCTATCTTCTGCATGCTTTCGTGGTTGCGTTTTGGACACACAACAAACACATTTTCAGGTTAGAAATTGACAGAAAAGAGCGGTTTTTACTTAAAAGCACTGGAATATTGTCACTTACTGCTGTCTTGCCTGAAACCACGTCATTTTTTGCGCACTTACGGCTTTCTCATATGACTCGTTCTGATAAAATCAAGATGAATAGTACTATTTCAGTGAGAATAATCGTGAGAATTAAATTCTGTCACTCACACAACTAAACTGCACAGGGTGATTCAGTCATTGTAACAAATTTAAGAAGTTAATGGACCAGTAGACAAGGCTCAAATTTCTGCATTCTGATACACATTTCATAATCAAAATTTCACGTAAAACACGATGCGCACATCGAAAATTACCGAAATCAACCCGTTATGAAGATATTTAATGATTCTTGATGCGTGAATTCAAACCACCCGCTCATGAAAACTCAATGCTCTACGTGACTCACATCGCGCGCTAAACGTTATCATGACAGTCTATGCGATATAAAAATCTGGCAACCTTAATCTTGACGCTTTAGCTCAGCTATTGCAAGTTGTTCATAGTTTGAACAGTACATTGTGGGAAATGAACATCGCTTGATTGAGAAGCTTGCTGAAACCGTTGTAGTGCACGATTTGACTCACGTAGAGCTTTGAGTTTCTTGTGAGCGGGCAGTTCAAACTCCTCGTAACCAATGTGAAATATAAACGTTAATATCTTTGTTAGGAGTTGATTTCGGTAATTTTCGTTACGCAAATCGTGTTCTACGTGAAATTCTGGTCAAGAAACATGTATTAGAATGCTTAAATTCGTACCTTGTCTATTGGTCCATTCTCTAAATCAAAATGAGATAGATTTGCGGTGTAACAGCCTTCTCCGAAACCGATGATCCTCAGACTTATAGCCCTCCAAAGTTCCCTAGGTTTTTTTATTTTTTCTATAACAGACGTGGCTACGTTTACGGAACAAGTTATGTATGAAGCTGGGAACAATGGCAATTTTAATAGCTCTCTCTTTTTGAACCTAAGAGGAAAATTCATTTTTGAGAGGGAAGGGGCTCCAAACAGCGGCAATTTCATGGAAATCATGTTTTTCCGCTGGAAGGTGCGATTCCCCCCGCAACCCACCCTTGAAACGAGTTGTCCCCTCTTTCCACGGAACATGAGTATAGCGCTTAAAGTAACCTTTCCCGATTAATTTCTATCTTAAATTTCAACTTTCATTTAATTTGATTCTTAAACGTTGCCACAATGTAAAAGAAAAATATTTACTGAAACATTGAAGGGTGTAGGCGTAGGGGGTTTGCAGAAAATTTTAGAGAAAGAACAATTTTTCCATCTGCCTGATCATCCTGACGAAAAAGCACGTGCGTCGATTAAATGAATCGATGCACGTGCTTTTTAGTGAAAATCTATCCATAATCAGGGTGTCTACACGTCCGGAAAGTCCGAAAATAGCACTGATTTTTTAAGGGCGGTCCGGAAGTACTGAAATTGTGCAAAATTCCGCACGAAAGTCCGGATTTTCTTCATTTTTTGTCATTTTTGTCACAATTTGAACGGGAAATTCAAATTTTTGAAAGTTGCCGAATTTTGTCAATTGGAGGTACTGAATTTTTCTGTTGAGGAGGTATTGAATTTCTTAAGAATGCACTGAAAAAGTGCTCATTTTGCGCCAGTCTATTTTAGTAGACACCCTAGTAATGATGATCAAAACATTTGTAAAATAAAAGGATAAAAATCTGTAAGTCCGGCTTGCGCGGGGGACGATTATGAAAGGATCAACGGTGCCCCCGCTTCGGGACGGAAGTTTTTCTTCTCGGAATTTTTAATAACGTTTCGGCAAAGAAACGAGATGGCGCGAAGCTTTCCCGGAACTGAAATTCATGGTTGGAACTGTGTTCGATTATCTTCTGGGAAGCTCGACATTAAAATGATTTCAGATTCGGAACGATTTTAAGGCCGTGTTTCATACGAACGCTCTCAAGGTTTAATGAGAAGCGGAATATAGCTTTTGTTTTAATATGGGTGGCTCTCCGTTCCTTTGTGTTTTATTCCGTTCTCTCGCTCGTTTCTTTCCAGGAAATGCGAGCAGAACCAAGTGTTTTACAGGAAAGGAGACCCGCATTCCTACTGCAAGAACGCCTGCGAAGAGAAAACTATGTGCGGAGAAGTGCAAGTCCCCGAAGAACATCTCGAAGTGAGTAAAATTGCTTAATTGCTAAGTCATCAAATTTCGGACACCTGCCAGTGGCGTGGCGTGTTTTACGATAAATCGATTGATCTGCCATTTAAACCTGTGAAAAAGGATCGATTATCAGGGTGTTCGCAACGAACACCTTAATAATCGATTCTTTACCATAGCTTCAAATGGGGAAATATCGATATAAAATCGAAGCACGCCACGCCACTGACACCTGCGGATTCTCTATTAGAGAATTTGCAGGTGTCTGAAATTTGATGCATTTCGTATGTTTAAGTGGAAACTACTGAGTAAACTGAACACGAGGACACCCTTGGTTCATGAATTGAACAATTATTTGAGAAGATATAACAAAGTGATCTAGTTTGCTAAAATACATGTGTTTAAATGGGAAATGCCGCCAGATGACGTCACTAGGCGGTGCATTTTCTAACTTTTAAATCTATTTTTATACTTTTTCCCATATCAGAAAAAAGTTATAAAAACTACTGTGATATCAGCACTTTAAGCACTTTCAGATAAAGCAATAAAAAATTTGCATGCAAAGTCTCCATAGCGTCACACATGGGGCGTGTAGGGGCGCCAAAAGGGTATCCCGGGTTAAGCATGTCAAAATGCCCTTGTGAATGGATTTTTATTTTAACCATTTCAAGTCATCAAGGGGGTCCTAAAATTTAGGTTTTGGGGGGTTTTAGCTCCCCAACCCCCTCCGCCCCCCCTCAGACCCCCAAAAACCGCTTTTTTGGGCTATTTTTGACTATGCTAACGTCATTTCCTCATAACTTTCGTAATTTTCGATAGAATTGAACCAAAATTTGTCAAAATCTACATCAATTAGCTTAGTTTGTGTAGAAAAAAATTCATTATCATCGGATAATATTTTAGCCCCTAAAAAAATTCGTAAAATTTTTGAAAAAATCATTTTTTTCCTTTTTTCGCGGCTAGGAGGCGTATGAAAACATGCACACAAACAAAAATTGTCTCTTTTCTTAATTTATACATCCAATAAGATACAGGAAAATTTTCGTGTTGATCGGAGTGGTGCGCCATACTTAAAAATGCAATTTTCTAACCTCAAAACGGCCTAAATGCCACCATTAGCCTCCTTTGATGACTAGGCGTGGAGAAATGTAGAGAGAAATATCCGGTTTTATCGTCTCACCTCTTAAGTGATCCACT